TATGCTTCTGGACTGGAGACTAAGAAAGCAGACCTTGGTGCACATCTTGGTCCTTTCCAAAGGCACCCAGCCCCAGCAGGGGGAGCCACAAGGTGTGGAGCACTGATAGCTGCAAACAGGGTACTCGGGGCCAGTCACAGTGTCTGACATTGGCCTGCACCAGAGACCCTCCAAAAGACTGGGGGTTGTAGCAGATCTACCTAATGCATAAAAATAAACCCAAACAGGCAGCCAAAATGGGGAAGGGAAAAAAAAAAGCCCCGAATAAAAGAACAAGAGAATTCTCCAGAAGAAGAGCCAAATGAAATGGAGATAAACAATTTATCAGATACAGAGTTCAGAGTAATGATTATAAGGATGCTCAACAGCATGATAAAAGATATGGAAACTCTGAAAATGACTACTTGGAAATGAAGAATGACAGCAGAAATAAAGAATATATTGGAAGCAATAAATAGCAGATTAGAGGAAGATGAGGATCGGATCAGCAAATTAGAAGACCGGGTATAAAAAAATCAAAGAATCAAAAAAAAAAATTAGCTGGACTCCCCAGCCCAGAGCACCAGAACTGAGAAAGGTGCCCACATAACATCTGGCAGGAGGACAGGAGCTGTGGGAAAGCATGAAATGTAATAATATCCACATCATAAAAGTGCCAGAAGGAGAAAATAGTGAGAAAGGCAGAGAGAACCTGTTTGAAGAAATAATGACAGAAAACTTCCCTAACCTGATGAAGGAAAATGTCACACAAGTTCAGGAGGCACAGAGAGTCCCAAGCAAGAACCCAAACAGGCACACGCCCATACACATCATAATTAAAATGCCAAAAATGAAAGACAAAGGGAGAATCTTAAAGGCAGCAAGAGAAAAGCAGTTTGTTACCTATAAAAGAGCTTCCATAAGGCTCTCAGCTGATTTCTCATCAGAAACTCTATAGGCCAGAAGGGAATGGAATGAAGTATTCAAGGTAATAAAAGCAAGGATCTGAAACCAAGATTACTATATCCAGCAAGGCTATCATTCAAAATAGATTGTGAAATAGTTTCCCAGACAAAAAAAACAAAACAAAACAAAAAAAAAACTAAGAGTTTATCACCACCAAACCAGCATTGTAAGAAATGTTAAAAAGACTGCTGTAATAAGAAGAAACCCACAATGAAACACCACTTCACACTCACTAGATGGCTATCCTATATAATAAAACCCTAATATGCAAATCGACTGAATGGCGGAACAACCGGTCACTATGACGCACATTGACCACCAGGGGGCAGACACTCAATGCAGGAGCTGCCGTGTGGTGATCAGTGCACTCCCACAGGGGAGCACTGCTCAGCCAGAAGCCAGGCTCACGGCTGGCAAGTGCAGTGGCGATGGTAGGAGCCTCCCCTGCCTCCACGGAGTACTAAGGACATCCCCCAAGGGGTTCCAGACTGCGAGAGGGTGCAGGATGGGCTGAGGGACACCCCCCACCCCCACCCCAGTGGATGAATGTCGTGAACTGGGCCTCTAGTAATCAATAAGAGATAATAGCAAATATTAGCAAGGATGTGAAGAAACTGGAATTCTCATACACTGGTTTGGAAGTTTAGTAGTTCTTCATAAAGCTAAACATAGAGTTACCATATAACCCAGCAATAATTCTACTCCAAGCAAAATGAAAACATATGACCATACAAAAACTTGTCCAAAAATGTTCCTAGCAGCATTATTCACAATAGGCAAAAAGTGGAACCCATTCAAATGTCCATCAACTGATACATGAACAAAATGTGTAATATCCACATAAGGGAATATTATTCAGCTATAAAAAGGAATGAAGTACTGATACATACTACTACATGGATGGATCTTGAAAACATTATGCTAAGTGAAAGGAGCCAGACACAAAGGCTACATATTATATGATAATCACATTCACATATTATATGAAATGTCCAGATCAGGTAAACCTATATAGACAGAGAGTAAATTAGTAGTTACCTAGGACTAGGGGAGATGGTGACAGGTGGAGTAACCACTAATGGATAGTTTCTTGTATCCATAAGATAATCAAAATGTTTTAAAATTAAGTGTGGTGATGGTTGCACAACTCTGTGATACCTCAAAACCACTAAACTATACACTTTAAGTGGGAAAACTGTTTAGTATATGAATTATCTATATATATAAAAGCCCAGCAACCAAACGGTGGAATGACTGATCACTATGACATGCACTGTGGTGGCCAACCAGCCCGATCTGGCCCTGATCGGCCCCCCTAATCTCCTGTGGACTCTCCCCCTGGCCAGCCCTGCCTGCGGCTCCTTCCCCTGGCTGGCCCCGCCCCCAACCGCCCCCGCCCCCCGCCGCTCCCTGATCAGGGGCAGGGCCGGCTCCAACTGCCCACAGCCCCACCCCCAGCCAGCCAACCCCCAGGGTCCCTTCCCCCCCCACCCCCCGGGGCCGGCTCCCCAATAGGCCAGGCCAAGGGACCCCACCCATGCATGAATTCGTGCACCAGGCCTCTAGTATCTCAATAAAGCTGTTTTTAATAAAATAATAAACATAATCTCACAGTTTCTTTGGATTAAGAATTTGGAGCTGGGTGATTCTGGCTCAGGATATTTCATGAGGCTGTGGTCACACTGCTGATCAGGGTCTCACACATCTTTTTTTTCTTTTGTTTTTATTGATTTTTTTAGAGAGACAGGGAGAGGGAAAGACAGAAACATTGATATGAGACAGAAACATCTATGGGTTGCCTCCTGCACACACCCTAATTAGAGATCAAACCACTACATGGGTATGTGTCCTGACCAGAAATCGAACTGGTGACATTTTGGTGTACTGGATGATGCTCAACCAACTGAGCCACACACGCCAGGACTCTTCTTATTCTTTTCTTTCTTTCTTTTTTTTTTTTTTAAGGCTTGAATGAAGCTAGAAGATCCAATTCCAAAGTTCACTTAAATGGTTGGTAACTTGGTGGTCCCAATTGGTGAGAGGCTCAGTTCTCTTCTACATGGGCCTCTCCGAAGGGCTGCTTGAGTGTCCTCAAGGCAGATGTTTCTGTCTTTTATAACTTAGACTCAGAAGTCACACACTTCCCGTACATCCTACCATTACACACCTCTGTGTTGGGAGGGTACAACACAGGGCTTGAATACTTGAATCAGGGACCACTGGGGAGCCATCATGGAAGATGGCTATGAACACTTGATAAGGAAGACAATGACAATAACAACCAACAATTCTGTGACATGTACTATGTGTCAGGCACTGTTCTCAGCTCACAATAAACCTGAGTTAATTACTATTATCTCCATTTCACAGATGAAGAAACTAAGGCACAGAGAAATTGACTTATCAAGGTCACACACTTACAAACTCAGGCAGTATAGTGCCAACATACATTCTTAAAAACTATTCAATACTGCATCCAGATATTATTTAGTTCAATTAAGTATTGCCCGTTTGTTCTCCAGAGTGGATGAACCAGTTGAAACTCCCATGAGTTTTCATTCTCCATAAGTTCGGACTCTTGTTTGTTTTGGCCAAACTAATGGAATCTCATTCATGTTTTCATTTGCATTTCTCGATGAGGTAACATACTTATTGGCCATTCTGGTTTTCCCTTTAAGTTTTTACCTATTCAAATTCTCTGCACATTTTTGTTTTTCTTCCCAATTTGCAGTAGTTATTTCTATATTCAATCCCTATATAATACAATCTCTTGTCAGTTTAGACACTGCAAATATTTTCTTCTAAACTCTACCCATCTGTAGCCTTGCCTATAGGATGCTTTGTTAACTAAAAATCTTTTAATTATGAAGTAGTCAAAACTATCAAATCTCATGGATTGTGTTTTGAGGATCTTAACAAATCCTCACCCCAAGGTCACAAAGATATTCTCTGTTTTTTTCTAATTTGCTTTAGGATTTTACCTTTCATTTAGGTCTTTAATTGCTGTGGTATTTGTGTGTTTTTTTTATATGGTTTGAAATGGGGATCCAACTTTTTGTCCATATAATAAGCCAATTTCTGAGCACCATTATCCATGTTTTCCCCACTAATTTTTGACACTACCTTTATCATGTCTCTAAATCAGTGGTTCTCAACCTGTGGGTCACGACCCCTTTGGCAGTCGAACGACCCTTTCACAGGGGTCGTCTAAGACCATCCTGCATATCAGATATTTACATTACGATTCATAACAGTAGCAGCATTACAGTTATGAAGTAGCAACGAAAATAATTTTATGGTTGGGTCACAACATGAGGAACTGTATTTAAAGGGCCAGAAGGTTGAGAACCACTGGTCTAAATAGCCATGTCTCTTCCTAAATCCAGTTTAGCACTCTTATTTCCTAAGAGGAAAGCTTTATCACTGTGAAAGTTTTCACTGATACAGTAGTCCCCCCTTTCCTACAGGGAATGCATTCTAACACCCCCAGTGGATACCTGGAATCACAGATAGTACTGAACCCTATATATACTGTGTTTTTTCCTGTACATACATACCTTTTCACTTAAAGGAAGTGCTTTACAGCTTCTCTTTGGCATATCCAAACTGCCAGCACCATTACTCTTGTGCTTTGGAGCCATTAGTAAGTAAAATAAGCGTTACTTGAACACAAGCACTGAGATATCACAACAGTCAATCGACTAACCCAGATGGCTACCAAGTGACTAATGGGTGGGTAACATATAGAGCAAGGAGATGTTGGGCAAAGGGATGATTCAGATCCTGGGCAAGATTTCATCATGTTACTCAAAACGACGGGCAATTTAAAACTTACTATTTCTGGAATTCTCCACTTAATATTTTCAGACATGGCTGACCATGCGTAACTGAAACCACAGAAAGCGAAACCCAGTTAGGAGGGGTTTTATAGCTACTATCCTGCTTTCTATATACCAGGTCAATGAAAACTCCAACCATTACCTTTCATGATCCCCCAGGGATGCAATATTATTAGCTTGTATTCTTCCCAGAAACAGAATACCCAGTTCAGAAAGTGATTTTAAAAAAATAAATGTATGTTTATTAAAAAACCTAACCAAGAACAAACCCTGGGACACTAGAAATCAACGTTTCTTCTGAAAGCCAGCAACAACCGCCAGTGCAGGCACCTGAGAAATTACAGGTGCCTCAGTCCAAACATCAGGTTTCAAATATTCTTCTTTCCAAATGGTGAAATCCTTCTCAAGTGGTTCAAACTAGCGTTCCAAGAGGTGCTGGTGTGCGGGCCTGATTATGACCATAGACAGCTTTTACAGCTTGACATCTGGCTGGTCTGTGTCCAGTATCACAAACTCCAGGAACCCCCACAGCCTCAGAAAAGTTACATATCTTCGACACTCCACTTGTAGGCAAGTTCCTCCACCGCCTTCTTGCTGGCAAGCCGGGCAAAGCGCTTCTGTTCAAATCCATTGGATCTGCAATCAAGAGATATTAATCAGCCAGAATCCTGAACTGGACACTTATTTTTGGAGAAAAAAAGAAAGAAAAGAGTTCACAATTAACAAATAAGGGAGAAAATAAGGCATGAAAAATATTTAAGGTACATGCAATAGAATCAAAAGAACAAAACATAAAATTCATCCTGTTTTAGTCCTTGTTCAGACTTTTCCCAGTCTTTTATCAACTGTTCCAAACATTTACCACTCTCTAAAGGCCCAACTCACTCTCAGGTGATATCTACATCTTATACTTTATCCATTCATTACATAAACATTTAGTGAATTCTTTACATACTAGGCACTGTGTCATGAAAATGAGTATAGCACAGCACTTGTCCTAAGGAACTCTGAGCTCCAGCACTGGGGCAGCAGCTTGATAGGGACCAGGGACACATGGGGAGGAACTAAATTGTCCAGCATTAGGGCAAGAGCTGGAGGGGCAGCATTCTGCCAGATAGAGGTGCTGGCAGAGGCCATTACTCCTTTGATGAACCCTCCCCCAACAGAGCCAGCAGGTAGGTGCCATATCTGAGATTCCATCAACCTGGCTCACACTGTTTGCACCGGGTGATTCCCAGAGGGCCTGCCCCACCCAACTGTCAGGTCCATCCAAGCTATTTCTAATGACTGTTACATACAAATGGAAAAGATTTTCCTAAAATCTGTAAAAGGAGCAGCTTCTAGCCTCAGTGTGCCCCATACCTATGGCCAAGTTGCCCCAGGCTTGGCACTAACAGGAGCCAGCCTTGGTTCACAGTTTGGCCTCACCTGGGCACCTCCAAGCCCAGCACAAATAGCTGCCATCTGCAGATTGCTCTGTGGCTCAGGCTGGGTGGCCCCAGGCAGAACACAGGCGGTAGCTAACCTTGGCCTGCACCTTCCAGGAGGCCCCACAGCCTCAGACCACATCAAAACATCACTACCCAACCACTCCCACAATCAACACATACAAGTTTGACTGAGCAGACACGAGAGCCACACTGAAGTAAGTTCTTTTCTGTGGAGTGGGCCCATGGCACAGCTGATCCTCCACAATGGTCAGAGGTCAGTGGTCTGTGGTTGCAGCCAGTCCTTGCAGCTGATCAGCCTGCAGGCAAATCCCTCCCATTGACGTGCCAATAGCAATCAAGGCTCAACTACAAGAAGAGGGTATACACAGCCCACACAGGGGGCACACCCTGAGTGCCCCGCTTGGGTGATTGGAGAGGTTGTGCCACTGGACCCTACAGAATAACTACTACACAAGGCCACTCTACCAAGCCTGGGAGACATAGCAGCTCTACTTAACACATAGAAACAAACACAGGAAGGCTGCCAAAATGAAGGGACAAAGAAAAATGTCCCAAATGAAAGTACAAAATAAACCTCCAGAAAAAAACAAAACAAAAACACTAAACAAAATGGAGGCAAGCAATCTACTAGATACAGAGTTCAAAACACTGGTTATAAGAATGCTCAATGAACTCAGTGAGAACCTCAACAGCATAAAAAGGACCAGTCAGAAATGAAGGATACACTAACTGAAATAAAGAATAATTTACAGAGAATTAACAGTAGAACAGATGAAACTGAGAATCAAATCAGCAATTTGGAATATAAGGAAGCAAAAAACACCTAATCAGAACAGCTAAAATAAAAGAATTTTTAAAAAATGAGGTTAGTGTAAGGAGCCTCTGGAACAACTTCAAGCATACCAACATTCACATCATGAGGGTGCTGGAAGGAGAAAAGAGAGAGCAGGAAATTGAAAACCTATTTGAAAAAATGATGATAGAAAACTTACCCAACTTGGTGAATGAAACAGACATACAAATCAGGAAGCACAGAGTCCCAAACAAGATAAACCCAAAGAGGCCTCCACCAAGACACATCATAATTAAAATGCAAAAGGTTAAAAACAAAGAGAATCTTTTGTGTGTTTTTAAAATATATATTTCTATTGATTTCAAAGAGAGAGGGAAGGAGAGAGAAATCAATTGCTTGCCTCTGGCACACCCCAAACCCACAACCTGGGTATGTGCCTGAATCGGGAATTAAACCAGCAACCCCTCAGTACATGGGACGACACTCAACTAACTGAGCCACACTGGCCAGGGCCACAGAAATAATCTTAAAAGCAGCAAGAGAAAAGCAGTTACTTACCACAAGGGAGCTCCCATAAGACTGTCAGCAGATTTCTCAACAGAAACTTTGCAGGCCAGACGGAATTGGCAAGAAATATTCAAAGTGATGAAAAGCAAGGACCTACAACCAAGATTACTCTACCCAGCAAAGCTATCATTTATTTTATTTGTTTGTTTGTTTTGTTAATCCTCACTGGAGGATATTTTTCCATTGATTTTTAGAGATAGTTGAAGAGAAGGGGAGACAGAGAAAGAGAAACATCAATGGGCGAAAGACACATTGATTGGTTGCCTCCTGCACACACCCCAACCTGGGCCAGGGATCAAGCTTGCAACCAAGGTATGTATCCTTGACTGGAACCAAACCTAGGACCCTTCAGTCCCCAGGCTGATGCTCTAACCACTGAGCCGAATTGGCTAGTGCCAAAGCTATCATTTAGAATCAAAGGACAGATAAAGAACTTCCACACAATAAACAGCTAAAGGAGTTCAACACCAAACTAATATTATATGAAATGTTAAAGGGCCTTTTTGCAAAAGAGGGAGAGGAAAAAGAAAAAGAAGGGAGAGGAGGAATGGAAAGATAAAAAATATGAGCAATAAAATGGCATGAAATACATATCTATCAACAGCTGAATCTAAAAAACAACATCAATGAACAAATGGACCAGAAACAGATTCACTGTTGGAGAACATTTTGATGGTTGTCAGATAGGAGGGGAATTGGGGAAGGGGTGAAAAAGATGAAGGGATTAAGAAGTACAAATTGGTTGTTACAGAACGGTCATGGGGATGTAAAGTACAGCATAGGGAATATAGGCAATAATATCCTCATTACTATGATGGAGTCAGATGGGTGTGAGATTTATTGGGATGATCACTTACTAAGTTATGTAATGGCTAATCCCTGGGGTATACACCTGAAAGCAATATAATAATGTATGTCAACTGCAATTGAAAAAAAATATTTAAAAATGGGGGGAATAAATTAATTAATAAAATAATAATAATAAAAGAAAATGACCAAACATGCAAAGAAATAGAAAATGAGATCAAACTCAAGAAGAAGCTATTATTAGAAACCAATCCTGATGTGACCTAAATGTGCAATTAGCAGGCAGGACTTTAAAGCATATTTTTAAATATTCTCAAGAAAGACAAAAATGTTTCTTAATGAGTGCACAGATGGGAAATCTCAGCAGAAAAAATATAAACTTTCAAATGGAAATCCTAGAGTTGAAATACAATGAACTAGCTTAAATAAAAAATTCACTGTATGGGCCTAATAGACTGGAGATGGCAGGTCAAAGAGTCAATGAACTTGAAAACAGATAATAGAAATTGTCCCATCTTAAGAACAGAGAAAAATGATAGAAAAATAAAAAAGACTTCAGAGATCTGTGGGAGAATATCAAGTGGTAGAATAATAGTGTAATTGGAGGAGAAGGGTGGTTCAAAAAAAAAACCTCAAACAATTGAAGGAACAATAGCCAAATACTTCCCAAATGTGAAAAATATAAACTCATAGGTCCAGAAAGCGCAACCCAAAGTAGGATAAACACAAAGAAAACCACACCCAGGTATATCATAGTCAAACTGCTAAAAACAAAAGACAAGAAAATCTTGAAAGCTGCCAGAAAAAAATACATTGTGTGTGTGTGTGTGTGTTGGGGTGGCAAGGGGAGTGGGTGAAGGGGGTGTAATAATGTAATAATATAAGAAATGAGGACTGAGTGTTGACTTCTAATCAGAAACAGTGGAGACCAGAAAATGAAACATCTTTAAAGGCTGGCAAAATTGTCAGAACTCTGGTACTGTCCAACCAGAGTTCCAGGTATGAGACTGCAACCTTAGAAGTTCCCAGGTGGAATGTGAAATTGGCCTCTGTATGCAGAAGACAAGAGACCAAAGAAAGAGGCAGACCACTCCAGATTAGAGTTTTAATAAGCAAGGGGACTTACATATAAGGCTGGTCTTGGGCACCTGCCTGCCAGAATCTTAAAAGTTTATATAGAAGCTTTAACTTTCAGTCACATATTCAGTTCAGATGGTCTCAACACCTTACTCTCTCTAGACCACATCTTTGAATTGCCTGCTAGTCTGGGAAGAATAAGTGTGACATAAATTCCAAGGACAGGGGAGGGAATAAGGATCCTCTGATCGTCCAGATAGAGCTTGTGGGTCAATAGGCAGTCATGTCAGTGAAACAATCTTCAGAAGTGAAGGCAAGAAAAAGGCCTCTAAATTTCCTTATTTTGATAATGTACTATGGTTATATAAGATTATCATTGAGGCAAGTTGGGGAAGGAATCAAGTTCTTGTGAGTCAACAATTATTTCTTAAGTAACATTTAAAAAATATAATGGTGAAACAGACATTTTCACATCAACAAAAACTGAGAAAATGTGGTGCCACTGAACCTGCGCTGAGGAATGTTAAAAGCAGTTCTTTAGGAAAGAAGGAAGAGTACCAGAAATGGTAAATATGTGAGTACATATTAACAACTACACATTTTTTTCTTTTTTTTTTTTTATTTTTTTTTTTTTTTTGTTTTTTTTTTTTTAAATTAAATCTTTATTGTTCAGATTATTACATTTGTTCCTCTTTTTTTTCCCCCCATATCTCCCCTCCTCCCAGTTCCCGCCCCACCCTCCGCCCTCACTCCCCACCCACTGTCCTCATCCATAGGTGCACGATTTTTGTCCAGTCTCTTCCCGCATCTCCCACACCCCATTCCCCCCCAGGAATAGTCAGTCCATTCCCTTTCTATGTCCCTGATTCTATTATAATCACCAGTTCATTCTGTTCATCAGATTATTTATTCACTTGATTCTTAGATTCACTTGTTGATAG